AATAAAAATACACATGTGGTCATCCATGGTTATGAGAGTTCTTAAGAAATCACTGTCCATAGAGGATCATTCTTACGCGGTTGTGAGGACTAGTTCCCTATAATACCATTTTTTATATAGCATATTTTTATTTATGGCGTTGATCAACCAACTTAATGGTTATAAAACGCATAATTTAGAACATAGAAACAAATAACTGGAAACATAACATGAGTGTGGAAATAACAATTTTATAACATTGACAGTTCTACATTACTGTCTCAGGACGCGGGTTTGATGGCGTCCTCTTGTCCAGAGATCACCAGGGTGTCGACGCTTCAGCCTTCTTCTTGTGGTTGGGTTTGCCAAGGATGCAGCTAATTGATTGGAGTGGGCTAGTAATCGGTCGTTGTAGCGGCTTGAGTGCATGTTGATTTGCTCTCTCACTGAAGGAATGTGCAGGTCACTGGCTAGGACCTCATTTCGCACGTACCACGGTGCATTTGCTATCGTGCGCAGAGCTTTGTTTTGCATTCTTTGTATCCTCAGGATGTTAGAATCCGAAGCAGTGCCCCATATTTGAATGCAGTAAGTGAGCGATGGGACAACGATAGACTTGAACAGCAACATCTTGTTACTGAGGCTGAGCGTACTTCTTCCTCTAAGCATCCAGTTCAGCTTTCGAAGCTTGGCACGACAAGTGGCTGCGACTTTGGTTATGTGCTGCCTCCACGTAAGACGCTTGTCCAAGATCAATCCCAAATACTGGGCCTGGGGGGATTGCGGGATGACTGTGTCCTGGAAATAGACCCTGGGAAGGATTTTACTTCTTAGCGAGAAGTTGCAATGCTCCTATAATACCATTAAATTAAAGATGCTTTATCAAGGATCCAAATAAACAACTTAACGGAAAGTATCGAATCGGTCTCAGATCAAAACACTCAGCATTCACCCGAAAGTAGTTTTGAGAATGTCATACAAGAAACCCGAAAACCCTTAAACCAGTTTAAGCAACAATTGCTAATAGCAACGGGGAGGTATACAATACATGAGTCGATTACCGTTTTCGAAAAGACTAGACATATAATAGAGTATGATACTCCAGAAAATTTAATATCAATTTTAAGAGAATATATTCAACCTAATAAACCCATAGGAGTTCATTGTACTTTAGAAGATTTTTATAAAATTCAAAAACCACTTAAAGATAATTACTCGTAGTTACTCGTAAACTTACTCGTAGAGTAAAAGGGTATATTGTATTCGTGCAAAAGTATGTAACAGGTAGAAGGAAGCTTTTCCGACCCAATAAAGTATGTATATTCTTGATCAGGATCACTAGCCGAGTCGATATAGCCATGTCTGTCTGTCCGTATGTCTGGCCGTCAGTCCGTCCGTATGAACGCTAAGATCTCGGAAACTACAAAAGCTAAAAGGTTGAGATTTTCCACACATATTCTTGGGCAGCGCAAGTTTATTTCAGCCGAGCGCCACGCCCCCTCTAACGCCCACAATCGCTCACTAACGATTTTAAAATGTGTCCTGCGCCCACATCCTTAAAGATTTCCGAGAAGTATAAATGAAATTTTGTTGTGTATATTTATACCTATCAAAATGTAGAAGACATTTTTCAAATCGGACCATTCATTAAAAAGTTATACGCAATCAAAATTTATATATCTATCTCCCTCGCACTCCCTTTAGCTGAGTTACGATTATAGTCGGGAAACCAACCCGAGTACAGCGTTCGCTTTAGCTGAGTCACGGGTATTAAATAGTCGGGACACCAACCCGACTATAGCGTTCTCTCTTGTTTTATAAATAATTTTTTATATACAAAAACATTTGTCCAGTTTCAGAAATTCTGCAACAATTTCCCTTGGCCAAAACCTTGATGATAGACAACGAACCAAGTTTCTCTTCATCCCAATTTAAATCTTTCGCGCAGAGAAACGGGATTTCTATATTCTTTACGGATTCTCGACATAGTACGTCTAACGGTCAAATAGAAAGGGCACACTCAACGCTAACAGAAATTGCTCACTGCATCAAAGACGAGCTTAATTTAATTGATTATTCTGAAATTATCATTAGAACGGCTCAAAAATATAATTTAACAATTCACTCTATAACTAACCAAAGACCGTATGTATTATTATTTAATAAAATACAACATGATAAAACATATTATCACTATGGACGGCAGTCCATGTAGTGACGAAGCGCACCAGGAGAGTGTGCGAAGGCGACTACTATATATACACAAAGAAATGAAAATCTACTGTGATGGTCCGATCATAATGAATGATACACCTATCGAAAGGTATTACGAAAACTAACAGGATTGCATACCAAGACTCTAAGAAAATCAATTGGCTTGGGAGAGAGAGCGGTGAAATTGAAAAAGTGAAAATTTGGAAATTTGGAGCTGTTGGGGCCGGTGGGGGTTAAATGCCCCCTCGCAATGTTTTAGTTTTATTCCTTTTGAAAATACCCGTCGAATGAGAGGTCATTTGTCAAAATCCGACGCTCCGTTCAAAAGTTATAGCCAAAATAAGATTTTCTTCGTCTTCCCAAAATTAAAATTTAATTCTGTTTGTCAGTTTGTCAGTTTGTCCAAAACATGTTTTTTAAGTTTTGAAAATTTGATATGACGTACATCACATCGATATAAAAAACTTTTCTTCTACCACTTTTGGAAAAACTCGCTAGTTTAGCGGGAAAACAGCTATAAATAGCTAAAATTCGGAAAGCCACCCCCATTTAACGCTCAGAAATTATCTAACCCCACACCGCCGCCTGCAAAAAGGAACAGCGGGAATTTGAGAGGTCGGTTTTTGTGTTATTGAAATCCTGATCAGGGACCGTAATCAATAAATATATATTAGGTATATTAGGCATTTTTCGTGTTATTAATACTACCAACACGAATTTTTATTTTTTAACAACACTTTAAAGTGGCTTAGGCCACGATCTGACGATCAAATTATTTTATTTCACAGAAAATGTTTAAAAATGTATAAAACAATAATAGTTTTCTTTGTAATTTAATGGCAATCCTTGATAAATGTGATCAAATATTTAATCGTCTTACCGTGGCTTTTCTTAATAATTTTTTTTTTGAATCCCACATTCATTCTTATTATTATTTGTAAACAAAATTTAAGATAAATGTGAGAACAAGATTTTTGGTTTTGGTGCAAATCATAGGATTTTTTAATATTTTTTAATATTTTTTTTGTTAAAAAAATTATAATCGTAGTGCCATAGAAGTGGCCTGATAGTGATGCTACTCAGAAACCCACCCCATTTAACGCTTAGAAATTATCTATCCCTACACCGCCGCCGGCAAAAAGGAACAGGATTTCAAGAACACAAAAACCATTTTCTCACTTTCCCGCTCAGCTCAACATTAACGAAGGGGGATTTCAACTAGGGATGTCAAAACTATATCAATATCGATATTTTTTGCAAAAAAAAATATATTTTTATCGTGATATTTATTTAGCAAAATATCACAATATCGATATTTTATTTTTCGATATTATTTGATATTTGCATATCTTTCTCTCATCTGCACAAAAAAATGAAGCGTGTTAAAATTTATTTCGGTGAAATTAATAAAAACAAACTAAGTGCAAACTTTGTTTGAAAACTATTAAAACAAGTGGGGAATACATCAAATAACTAATAACTAATAAAATAAGATATTTAAGAAATTTATATTGTTTAAACTTTTCTAGCGCTTTTAGATTAATTTTAGGGCAAAAGTCTTTGTTGTTAGCTTATTTACGCGGCTAAAATTTTGAAATTCAACTGAAAAAAAGAATATCAAAAGTATCTGACATATCGATGTTTTTTGGCGATATATTATATATCATATTTATATTTTTATAAAAGAAAATATATCAGCGATACAATATTTTTAAAATATTTGACATCCCTAGTCAACAGACTAAAAGCCGAAGCGTCAGGCAGCCGATGGGACTACCTCGTATAGTAATCGGTCATTTAATAAGTCTCCCTGTGCGAGCGACATTCGAATGCATTCAAACGGACAAATGAGTCACTCATTCTTAAAACTTGTATAACTTTACTCATAACTGTACTCATTACTTTAAATTTTGAGTGAATGCAGTACTTGTGACTGTATTGCCAAATACTGTACTCACTTTTCCAGACACAGTACAGTATATTGTGAATACAGGTTTTGGTTTAGAATAACTTATTGTACAGTGAATGAAGATTTCCAACAATTACAAAGCCTACTGAATTTAAAAAACGTTAAAGCTTGCATATTTCTTTGTAATATTGTAATCTATCCACTAGCATAATAACTTAAAATCTAATGAAAGAAACGAAGCGGCGTTAGTCATAAAATTAACGGATTTATTAACACATCAATTGATATTTAAGACTTTTCATTAATGCTGTCTATGTTAGAGTTGAGAAACATTAGTTTATTGACCATGTCTTCAGTCGAAGCAATTTTTTAACGGTTTTCAAAAATTCGATTTTTGCAATAGAAATCAAGCAAAGAAATAATATCGCACTCGGCATTCGTATTATTCTTCGATTTAGCTACCGACAACTCTCACACTTTTTTTTCTACTCAGAGTTCAGTACTATACAATAGTAATTGAGACGACACTCATAGTATTTTTTAAATTGAGAAGCATACACATAGTATTAAAAAAGTGTTGCAACTCTAAAATAGTGCACTCAGTTAATATCGGTATTGTATCTTCACCGCGAACTCAGGCTTTAGCCCAAGTTAATAGAAGGGCCCCACGCGTAACAAGGATGTCTTTGAGCCACTTGTTTGTACTGCTGGCACTGCATCGACGTCCATCATAAGATTTTTTGTCAGCATCAGCTAATACTAATGAAGAGCAACTATCGGATATATAAATATTTTAAATATCCCTAATGTTGTTGAGTTGGCCTCTGTGAGAATAAGGTATCACAAAAGTACTGTATTTTTGGATGACGGTCTAAATAATACATTTGTGAACGGAAAGCCAAAAATGGTGAATGGTGTTGTGTGGGAATAGAGTATAACTCGCACGGTTATTTTTTAAGTCTACTCGCAGTCACACTGTTTTGAAAATGTATTAGATTAAAATTTGTACAAATGGGGAAAGAAGGTTGTAAATTAATATCGTCGTACAATTTTAAAATCGAGTACTTTTCAGATCATCGCTTGAGTTCTTCCAAAAGGCTAAAGCCGCCGCATCATTCCTACTTAGCAAGATATAAAGACTACCCGTTTACTCACTCTATTTCCAATTCTGAGACGTCAAAAAAGCATAATGATATTGATGAACAGAGGTGCAATGTTAATATCCATAAACTCCAGTTCAGCCGCACGAGAAATATTGACACACAAAAATCAAAATATTTGTATATTACTACATCGCCCAACGACGGGGCAAAAAAAGGTAAAAGGCGACGCAATAGTGAAACATCCAGTGATGAGGAGCGGTGGCTTACTGCCATAGAAACTGGAAAACTGGACGATGTTGATGAAGAGCTGAGGAAAATCAAAGATCCCAAGTTGATGACAGCTCGTCAACGTGCTATGTATGAGCGAACACAGGATACCGATATAAATGGCTTTGTTGAAGAGCTAATTGCTCTTCCTAGTGGTTATAAAGAAAAGGAAAAACCTCAAACGGCGGAGGAAATTCAAAAGGCTGTACTGAAATCCCAGAAACGAAAACAGCAAGCTGACGAACGACGGGAGAAGGATAAACAAAAAACGATGGAACGCTTGTTAAAAAAACAGGAGACTAACAAACGTCAGTCGTTAATTCGTAATAAAAGACTACTAAAGTACTCTTCTCCAAAAATAACCTATGTAAGTGCTGTTAAAGGTAACTATATAAGTGTCCCGCCAGGTGAAGAGTTTCCTCTATTGGCACAATTACCTCGCACGCCGCCTCTGGAACAGTTATGCTATGTTAGCGGATGTGAAAATCGAAAGGCTTACAACTGCTCCACCACAAAAGTACCCTTATGTAGTCTTAAATGTTATCGTAAAAATATTGTACAACATTTCAACCAATAAATAGAGACAAAATGTTTTAATAATGATTCACACAAAAATGGTTTATTATTTCATTTTGGGACGTTTCGATTCGTTGCAAATACTGGAGTTCGTTCTTCAAACGTTCTAATTCCACAGTTTGCTCCAAAATCTCGTATTCGTAGACTTGCTGCTCACTCTGGCGCCGATTAGAAATGGTCTTTAATTGATTTTGAGTGCCAATAGAGAGTAGTTTTTCATTATCGAGGTCTTTTGTGAAAGTTGCATATATTTTCCGAATATCAAGAGCTAATTTCTTAAAAAAGTTTAAATTGTTAGAGTATTGAAAGAATTCTTGTTTAAACTTTTTTTTTTCTCGGACAAGGCGCGGATTTTCAAATCTTAGTCTGTAGATGTCATCTATAAACAATCCAACCTTTTTAAGTTCCTCCATTTTTATGTTATTATGGTAACGATACAACTACAACTACTAAAAAAATCAATATACATACATATATGTGTAAGTCAAATTAGCATCAGTGACTTATCGGCGATTGAGGAACGGTGACACAAGGAACATAAGACTTGTATTTTCTTGCTAATTATAAAAAAATATCCAAATTACCCATCATTTGCATTTTAAGCCGCTTGAGGACTGTATGCCGCTCTCCGATCAAGATGATTTTTCAATCAAATACTTAATTCTATGGTCCAAATGCTTAAGTTTTATTTTACAAGCTTTTAAAATTTTTTTAAGGGGGGAGACACAAACCCTGCAGGAAATGTGCGAAACTAGTCTGAAAAACAACTAGTTTAAAAACTGGTTGAAAAAATGAATAATACAAAACCAGGGACCGTAAATAACAGTTATTTGTGATTTTTAATAGGGAAACAATGGATTACAACATGGATTACTTTGCCATAGGCAAAGTAATGTGGTCGGGACACAATTTGCATTACTAGTAATGGGAAAAGTATGCTAGGGCCGAGTCACATTCGGGTCTCCATTACGAATTCACATACATTTTGAAAAACGTATGCTGAGTTGTAATGCTGGTCATTTATGAAAACAAAAAATATTCTTTCCTCATGTAGAAATTAAACATGGGTATTATTGTATAATGAATGGAAAGGCTAACCGCTCGGCCATTGTCTGTAGTTTTTTTAGTTCGTTAAACTATATTATTAAAGTTCCGAAGCTCAAACGTGCCGGAGGGGAATCGAAAAACGAACACATAGGCAATAATTTGTAGGTGTGTTTGTGATTTTTGACAAAAGGAAATCGTTAACGAACAAAAATACGAAGTCATAGGAGCTCTGATTACAACTTCACTGTCGAAAAACAGCGATCGTAATCGATTACAATGCCTACACTTGTAATGCATTTTTTCTCCAGACCCCATTCACATGTTCGCCGCTGGGATGTGGGAGCACGCTCAGAGCGAAGAGAGGAAAGAAGTGGGCAGACAGAACAGTCGTCAGCGGAAAAATTCAAGGTTCACTGTTAGGGCTAGTACTCAACCCAACAAAAAGTCGTCCAAATCAAAAAACTTCATATGAAAACATTGTCAAGAAATTGGATTTCTTATAAAGTTTTTGGATTTGGACGATTTTTTGTTGGGTTGAGTATTAGCCCTTAGTCGTTTTTCCTCAAAATCTGTGGGTTTGATTTTGATTAAACTTTCAGATAAGAAGCTTGAGTTAACCCTTATTAGCCTGGTTTAGCGTGCATATAGGCACAACCTCTGTGAGGGGAGCAGTTAACCAAATGGTGAATACCCGCTTTTTCAAATGCATTTTTGAAACACTAGACATCGGATTTTGCCCCAACCAATATATTTTAATACATACATTTTTCAATTGAACCCCTATAAAAAGCGGGAAAATTGAAAAAAAAAGAATGGTTCAAAATTACATCGTTCAACCTTTGTTGCTTACTCCTCGACGGTAATTTGACGTTCATTTCATATGTTATCAGTTTTGCACTAGTTGCTGTTACAGCTGTAAGGCCCCTCTAAAAATTAAGAAAGGAAGCTAGCTCTGGCCAGCCGAGAATACAATAAAAACCAACAAGAAAGGAAGCTAGCTTCGGCCAGCCGAAGCTTATATACCCTTGCAGATCATTCCTATTAATTAACAAATCGCAAAAATGTTCAATTTTCTAAAATTTCTCATTAATTTTCCGATCGTTCCAATGGCAGCTATATGATATAGTTGTCCGATTTTGATCAAATTAAAATTGAAATTCGGAAATATTTAAAAAGAGTTATATCCTAGAGTAGAAGATAATACAATAAAAACCAAAGAAGCTACAATTTATTTCCTAGTACTTTTCCATTAATTTTCCGATCGTTCCTATGGCAGCTATATGATATAGTAGTCCGATTTTTTAAATAATTAATTCGAAATTCAGAAATATTTAAAAAATAACATCCCCAAAAGTAGAAGGTAATATTTCAAAAAACACCGAAGCTAGAATTTTTTAAAGTTTTTTCTTCCGATCCTTCCTATGGGAGCTATAAGATATAGTTGTCCGATCCGGTCGGCTCCGACATATATACTACCTGCAATAGAAAGAAGACTTTTGCGAAAGTTTCGTCCCGATAGCTCAAAAACTGAGAGACTAGTTTGCGTAGAAACAGACAGACGGACAGACGGTCAGACGGACAGACGGACAGACGGACGGACAGACGGACATGGCTAGATCGACTCGTCTTGTGATGCTGATCAAGAATATATATACTTTATGGGGTCGGAAACGTCTCCTTCACTGCGTTGCAAACTTCTGACTGAAATCACAATACCCTCTGCAAGGGTATAACAAAGCAATAATTTATTTCCTATTATATTCCCATTAATTTTCCAATCGTTCCTATGGCAGCTATATGATATAGTCGTCCGATTTTGATAATTCGAAATTCAGAAATATATAAAAAATGGTATTTACAAAAGTAGGAGTTTGTATATTAAAACAAGAGAGAACGCTATAGTCGAGTGCCTCGACTATTAGATACCCGTTACTCAGCTAAACAACTTAATAGAAATATGCCTTCTTATATGTTTTTCGCCGCTCGATTTTTACCCAGGGATCTCTTTCTAGAAGACGCTTTCTAGAACTTTCAATTCTGCCTAGCACATCTTCCGTCTCTCTCTAGCGCAGGTAAATGCACCTGGGAAAAACGTATACGAGCAAAAAGAGACAAAATGCGCGCCCCATTTTAAATAATTTAAAATTTGCATTAACATAATGTGAATTAGAGTGACCACAGAAAAAAACGCAGATTTTTTCCAATGCCATTTTCTAGATGGCGCTAGTGTATATTGTATTGCGCCATCTACCGCCAGATATTGGTACTACTGGTCATAAAAGGCGGAAATGTAGGCGCTGGCCAGGTTTAAGCGTTTATTGGGTTTGTGGGCGTTAGAGTGGGCGTGGCAATTTTTTACTTGGCCAATCGATAGGTATTGACGAAGCGAATACATATCAGTTACTATTTTCATAATAGCTTCAAAACTGTGGGCGTTAAAGGGGGCTTGTTGGCGTTAGAGGGGGCGTGGCACCTTTTTGAAACAAACTTGCGCTGCGTAGGAGCTCCTAGAATATTCATGCAAAATGCCAATCTTCTAGCTTTTATAGTTTCCGAGATCTCAGCGTTCATACAGACAGACAGACAGACTGACGGACAGACAGACGGACAGACGGACAGACGGACATGGCTAGATCGACTCGGCTAGTGATCCTGATCAAGAATATATATACTTTATGGGGTCGGAAACGCTTCCTTCTAGCTGTTACATACTTTTGCACGAATACAATATACCCTTTTACTCTACTAGTAACGGGTATAAAAACACCCAAGATATATTTTTTTAAATTTGTTTCCCGATCAATACTATGGGATCTACACGATATAGCTGTGTGATCCTGCTTGTCCCGACTACTGCCTGCAAAAAAATGAAGACTTTTGAAAAAAATTTTAGTCTGATAGCTTCAAAACTGGAAGACTAGTTTGCGTCGAAACTGCCAGACAGACGGACGGACAGACGGACATGATTAAATCTAGTGATGCTGATCAAGAATACTTTATGGCAGGGGTGCTCAAAACTGCCTTATGGCAGTGCAGTTACAAACACCATTAAAGGAAAAACACACGCACGCGAGTAACAAGTCACACACAGTCATGAAAAAGACAACAACACTTTGCATAGTGAGTTGAGGAGAAAAAAAAACTTCAATGGAATTTGTTGTTGGCTTGGTTCGCTCTTGTCTATTACGAACAGCGACACAAAGAGGACTCGGGGTGTGCATAGGCAAGCATTTCGAGTGCACTGCCGTATTGTTAGTGCTATTACTTACAATTGCATTGTTACTAGTTTTGTACAGGGACCGTAAATAACAGTTATTTGTGATTTTTATTTTAAAAAGACTACTGTGATATTTGGTTTTCTTTTTACTCTTGTCCACAAAGTATATGAATTTCAACAACTCTGGAAAGCAAATAAACAGTTATTTGTTCATGTCTATAAAGAGCATAAAAACCAGTTAAATTGTTGATTAAAACTTGTACAAAACTCAGTAGGCCTTTTAAAATAAAAATCACAAATAACTTTTATTTACGGTCCCTGTACAAAACTAGTAACAATGCAATTGTAAATAATAGCACTAACAATACGGCAGTGCACTCGAAATGCTTGCCTATGCACACCCCGAGTCCTCTTTGTGTCGCTGTTCGTAATAGATAAGAGCGAACCAAGCCAACAACAAATTCCATTGAAGTTTTTTTTTCTCCTCAACTCACTATGCAACTCACTATGCAAAGTGTCATTTTTTTTTCAAAAATGAAGACTTTTGAAAAAAATTTTAGTCCGATAGCTTCAAAACTGGAAGACTAGTTTGCGTCGAAACTGCCAGACAGACGGACGGACAGACGGACATGATTAAATCTAGTGATGCTGATCAAGAATACTTTATGGCAGGGGTGCTCAAAACTGCCTTATGGCAGTGCAGTTACAAACACCATTAAAGGAAAAACACACGCACGCGAGTAACAAGTCACACACAGTCATGAAAAAGACAACAACACTTTGCATAGTGAGTTGAGGAGAAAAAAAAACTTCAATGGAATTTGTTGTTGGCTTGGTTCGCTCTTATCTATTACGAACAGCGACACAAAGAGGACTCGGGGTGTGCATAGGCAAGCATTTCGAGTGCACTGCCGTATTGTTAGTGCTATTACTTACAATTGCATTGTTACTAGTTTTGTACAGGGACCGTAAATAACAGTTATTTGTGATTTTTATTTTAAAAGGCCTACTGAGTTTTGTACAAGTTTTAATCAACAATTTAACTGGTTTTTATGCTCTTTATAGACATGAACAAATAACTGTTTATTTGCTTTCCAGAGTTGTTGAAATTCATATACTTTGTGGACAAGAGTAAAAAGAAAACCAAATATCACAGTAGTCTTTTTAAAATAAAA